TAATCCTATTTGTTCAGTTATTTAGAGCGCAAACAAAAATCCGCATAAGGTGCAAGTGAAGTAAGACTCAGCAACATAGCCCCTGAGCCCGTATTCCGGTCGAGTTCATATGGGGATCGAAGGCGGCTTCCCGGGGAGAGGGAAAACAGAGCTCCTGGGAGAGAAAGCGATGCGGGAGGAGGGATGTAGAAGAGAGTTTTCTTCAGTTTTAGCTTTAAACCCGGACTTTTGTAAGACTGGTGCCTGTGCCGTTAGGACAAGGGAGGAAGGGAGGCGAAACACTCACCACTCCTTCCCCTTCATGGATCCATCTATCGTTAAGTCGCCTATTGGTTACCGAATGTCAATTCGGCTTTTTCGGCTAAGATATTATCAGCTCAACAATTCTAGTGCGGTAAAAATGGGCAAAAAGCTAACAAGGAAAAAAGAAAAGGGAGGGGAGAAAATGTGGTTGGTCCAGTGTACATATTATAATAAAATTACCGAAAAAGCTGATACGCCTTTTGAATGCATCACTTCGTACGCATGAATCACGTAAGTAGTTGTCAAAAGACGACTGGGCCAGCCAAGATCCTTGAGTTTGTTGATGTCGCTGCTGCTGCGAGTGGTGATGCTCCCGTTGCTGCTGTTGTTGCTGCTGCTGTTGTTGTTGCTGTTGCTCCTACAATTAATATATATTAGTCCTGAATATAATGCTGATATTTATGTTTTCAAAGAAAACGAAAGGAATGTCAGGATCATTCAGGAAGTTGTCCGCCAAGGGGGTGAAACAGCATTTAACGACCGTGAAATTTAACTGCATAGCAAAAGAACCAGGTGGATCCAAATGTTAAGCTTCCAGATCCCTCAAATTTTGGAATAGAGCTAACAAACACACGAAAATGAACTGAATCCAGGGCGTTGCGCACCGAAATTGCCGGGGCGATCATGCGTTCCTGCATGATTCCATCCTGTAGAAAGATCGCCTGTACTACTGGAATGTAACTGCAGTGTTGCAATCTGAACATTTGATGCATCTGTATGCAGAGCCAATGCTTAAATAGGAGTTTATCTTACATCTGGTGGGCAGCACATGAACAGCAAAAAATGCTCAGGCAAATACTGCTTCCTGCTCATTCTGACTGCCGAGTTATTTAGTTGCTAACAGTGCTCGGAACTAAACATTCACTTAGGGCAAACGCCAGACCTGCGCATACTTTTCTTTCTCAAAAGTTACTTAAAAGCAATCTGATGGCGGGTTTGACTCCTTGACAGGTGCTCGT